TATTGAAGAAAGTTAAATTTGGTAGGTTAAGCATGGATTAACCTTGGAGGATAGAAAATTAATCTTAAAAATAAAAAGGGAGGTCTATATATAATGTGATTTTTAACCTCTTGAGAAAACTTTCATTTTGAAACCAACTTTAATTATGTTATTATCATATTGCAAATAGAATCATAATCATATCTAATTGCTCTTAACACCATTGAAGCTAGGAATATTGGGCAAACTCACATGTTGCAGGCTAGTGGGTGCAAATTGAAACATAAATGGGGATTTTTCCAATCCAACTTGCTAGTGAGTGTTGACAAGCCGGCTTAAGGTCATCAATCATCATTCCCAACTTTATATTATTATATCATTTTTTTATCTCTCTTTCTTTCTTAATTATTTTTTTATGAATCTTGACCTTATTTTAATCAATCTTATTTATTATAAACTCATTCCATTTGATTCATTTCCAACAACCAAATTGTTCATTATGAAGAGGAGGTTTTGAAGATGGGAGTGGCCGCGCTATTATAATAATAATAATAATAATAATAATAAATTATTTTGGAAGCACTTCTTTTTAACCTACTTCCATTTAGTGATTCCATTTATCATAGATGAGCGTGGTGCCCTAGTGTTGTTTATAGTTATAGATATTCAAGCCCTGTTAAGTTTCTGTTTAAAAAAAAAAGTTTGTTTTTTTAAAAAAAATAAAAAATTTTGTTTAAATAAATATTTTGAATCTTATTATTTTCAAATTATTTTCATTTTATTTTTTAAAATATATTATATTTGACTATTAAAAATTACATTTTCCTTGACTAATGATTATCATAAACCACCATCATTAATTGCTAGTGACTATCACTATTGATTGATTTTTTAATTTTAATTTTATCTTTAAATTAACATAACCAAACATATTTATTTTATTTTATTTTATTTTAAAAAAAATTAAAAAATATTGCAAAACAATCTTTGAAAACAAAAACTAAAAACAGAAGCCAAACTGGCATCAATATCTTATTTATTTATTTTCTGGTGCCAAGTGTGATTGTATTTTGGCCTTGGCTTGATTCATGGAGATGCTTATTGGAGTTTCCTTCTCACAGAAAATTTCACAAGGGTTGGGTTTAGTAATCGTAGTAACTCTTTGAGGCTTTGGGTTAGTGTTTTTATTTGGATTCTTGGAAAAACTACACAGAATAAGTCACGGCCCAATGAAGACCAAATAATGAAACAATGAATTTAAAATCACAGCAAGCCGAAGGCAAGGGCTCATTTGACAACATATTTTAAATATAATTTTCTATTCTCTACAATAACAAAAAAAATCGTTCAGTAAGGTATTTTTATAAAGTATTTTGAAAAATAAAAAAATAAATATTATTATAATAACAGAAAAATAAAAACATTTTTTATGTGTTTTGAGATTATTGTTATGGATAATAAGGAAGAATGTAAAAAACATATATTTTTATTTGTTCTTAAAACATATTTTATAAAACACTTGTTTTTAGAGCAATAAAAAAAAATATTTCAAACAAGCCAAACAAAAACAGCACAATCATTATTAAAGAAAACATAATCAGGGAAATGGGGGAAAGGGGAGGGTCACTGTTAAGTTAAAAAAAATTAAATTAATTACAGTTAGGGTTTTAATAATTTTTTAAAAATAAGTTATAAATATCATTTTTTAAAAATTACAGATTAAGAATCTCAATTGTAAATATGACATTCCAATTAACTTTAATTATTCAGCCAAAAAATTTAACTTTAATTAGCAACTAAAATTTCTTTTTATGACTTTTTGAATCGATACTTATAAGTCTTTTTTGTAATTAAAATTTAATTTTCATTAATTTAATCTCTTGAGATTTATGTCATCATCCAAAAAAAAAAAAACAAATGAACAAGGGCGAATCTAGAACCAAAACCATGAGGGGCCAATATACCAAACTATATTATCATGGGAGCTAAAATTAGTTTTAGTATTCTAACAAATAAAATCAAAGTAATTTTAAAATACTTTTTGTAACTTGCCCCCTTTTAATCCGTCCCAGCAAATGAAATCTCCAAAACCCTCAAACGACCATACAACACATCAAACAATTAGTGCAGCAAAATACAAAACAAGTTAACATATAAAAGCAAGACTATAAAATGTACAAAGGATACAAGCCATAATTATTCAAGCAAATCATAGCTTTGAGCCTCATTTCATCAATTCCAAGCTATTTTCCTCCATCATTTTCATTATTTTCTTGAGAATCAATGCTTGCATAACTAGAACTTATGCAATCGCTATATGATGATGATCGGTCAGAACTGGATCCATGACTCGCTGCAATCGTTTCATGAGCACCCAACATTGGCTTTGGAGGTATTTCAAGGCTTTCAACATCTGCCTCTAGCATCTCTACTACCTTATTCATTGAAGGACGATCAATAGGTTTGAATTGTGTACACCACCATGCAACAATGAGCATCTTTGTTGCCAAGTCCTTATCCTCTTTTGTCATGTCTTCCATTATTCCTATGTCTTTCTCTTGAGTGAAATGATCATATAACCATAATGGAAAGAAATTTTCACTTGAATGCTCAGTAGTGCGTGACTTTGAGTTCCTCCTCCTACTGGCCATTTCCATCAGAAGCATTCCAAAACTATAAATATCAGCCTTGTAGGACACGCTTCCAATGTTTTTATAGAACAACTCAGGAGCCATATATCCTAAGGTCCCTTTTGCGGCGGTCAAAGCAATGCTGCTATCATCTCTAGGATATAATTTTGCAAGTCCAAAATCCGAAACCTTTGGGACATAGTTGTCATCAAGAAGAATGTTATGTGGCTTAATGTCAAAATGTAAAATTTGCATATCACATCCATGATGAAGATAGGCAATCCCTCGAGCCGCCCCAAGAGATATCTGATACATTTTTTCATAACTCAGAGGGGTACTTCCTTCTTCAAGGAAAATAAATTTATCAAGAGAACCATTTAGCATGAATTCATAAACAAGAGCACGCTTCGAACCCTCTACACAAAATCCAATAAGACGAACCACGTTAACATGATGTATCCTTCCAATCGTCGCCACTTCACTAATAAATTCTTGGCCATTAGCTTTATTAGATTACCCAACATCTTAATAGCTACTAGAGGACCACTACGTAGCTTGCCTTTATATACAGTGCCAAAGCCTCCTTGACCCACCTTGTCTTTAAATCCTTTGGTCATATTCTTAATTTCCTTGTAAGAGTACCTTATGGGCATGAGGTCACTATGTTGAAGAAAATGTTCAATTTCTTCATACAAGGATGAGTGTCTCTTTCTCCATTTGAAAATTAACAGCGCAGTTAAAAATATTACTCCAAGTAGAACTCTAAATGCCACCAAGGATACTAGTCCATACCATACATATACAACTGTGTCTGAGAATAGATTTACCTGTGACTCATATAACTCGTATGGATTATTTGTGGTAAATTCTGCTGATGGTGAACGACACGTTACTGCTAAAAAGATCGCTGTAAAATTATTGCAACAAAATTATATGCAAGTAAATAACCTTTTTCTGGCAAAAAAAAAATTAACGTAATTGTAATCAAATAAGGAGAATATTTAAGGGCTCTAAAAAACTATTATTTAAAGTTAAGGATCTCCAAATTTTGAAATTCTAAAAAAGGATCATGATCCTTGAATTAAAAAATTTTCTGACTGAATTTTTTCAGTATTCATCTTTCACATTTTCAGTACTCATCTTTAACATTTTCTATACTCAGTTTTTAATTTTTTAGTAATTATCTTAGATGCAAGTTTTGAATACTTATACTCCATGTTTTTAGTATATCTTCAAAATTTTTCATCAATATTGAAATCATGAAAGATTAATATAGTGAAAACATCTAAGACAACTACTAAAAAATTGAAAAAACTAAGTACTAAAAATGATAATAACAAGTATTAAAAATATGGAAGATAAATATTGAAAATATGGAAAAGCATAGAAAAAATTCAATCAAAAAATTTAAATTCAAGTTAGGAACCATGATCCGTTGTCAAAATTTCATAATTTCAGAGTCCTTAATGGTAATTAATGATTATATTTATTATTACTTTGTATTTCTAATAACTTCTGCTTACTTTGAGAAACATTTTTAAATAAAATTATTTTTCAATTATTGTAACTAAAGACATATAACTTCAACTTCTTATAATTTTTTCAATAATAAGTCACTTTCCTAGGCAATTTAAAAATATTTTTGAACAAAATAAATGAATTTTAAACCCTTGAACTCATGTTTATTAGGCCAAGAGTGCAAGGCTAAAAGTTTGGACAAACCCAAAAAAAAAAAAACCAAAGAAAAATGTTTGGAATAAGTCAAGGCCTTACCAGTGAATATGCCCAACAAAATTGCTGCAAGAGAGAATTTCCAGATTTTGTTAGAATACATCAAATAAGAATGAAAGACGATCGACATAATTTCAAACCCACAATTTAGTAATTTAAAAAAAGAATTTAACTTAAGGTAATACTTACCTTCGAACTTTAGGTGAGAGGAGGGCACTGATGCTAAAAAAAGAAAGCCAAAGAAAGGCAATGTAATTAGATAACAAAGTTATTAAAATAATCAGGAAAAATATCACTCTAGTTTATTTCTTTTACTTTAATCAGAATTTATTTTTTGATCCTTATTGTTTATTTTCATGATTTTCAATCAATTTTGTTTAATCTATTTATAATGTTAATCCTTTTATTTTTAAGAATATTCAGAAGGACCATAATTTACATGGCTCAAACAGCAATAATTTTGTGAAGGTACAATGTTCTTGTACTTCCATATGCTTCTCTCAATCTCATTTGCCATCATTTTAAGGAAGTGAGATTTTTTTTTCTTTTTTTAATAAGACAATTTTTAATAAAAAATTTTATAATTTTTTTGGAATGAAATTTTATAATATTTTTCAGGTCAACATGTTTTTGCCTAGTCATCTAATGAATTTAATGGTGTTGATTAAAAAAAATCTAATGAATTTAATTGTGTTAACTCTACCTTAGCAAAATTAATACCGTTTAGGTCATTTTAAAGTCCTGAGTATTTTTCAAAATACAGGACGAACATCAATATAAATTAGAACGAAAGGATGTAAAATCATAAAAATAAATTATAAGGACTAAAATTAAAATAAACCTGAAGTGATATTTTCCCAAATAATTAAGAATTTCATAGAATTAAAAATTAAAAATACGTAACTTACTTTATAACCCCACAGAATCTCGAATCCAACGGCCTGCAAATTCCGGTGGATGTCAACGTACGGCAGCTTAAGGAACTCATCATAAGGAATCTTCGACGGCGTGACGGCGACAGCGCGGCAGCCGATCTCCAACTCCGCGAACGATATGTTCCCCGGAACTGCGTAAATATGCGAACCCGACAAGCATGGATCGGTGCTGACGTAATACGGATTGTCCCTTATTTCTCTTTCACACTTTATGTATATCACTTCAAAATTAGGGTATCCGAGACTCCAGATGATGCCGGAGCTACTGAGATTCCCGGCGTGAAGGACGTAGCGAGGGAGGGAGGAGCAATTATTGGAGCGATCATCATGGAAGTTTGTATCAACCAGTCGGATGCTGGAGAATGTGTAGTTGATCGACTGCACATAGAATTCGCCGGAGAGAATGGGCAATACGAGGACATCGTTGTCGCCGGAACCGCCGCCGCCGTAGATACACTGTAACTCATAATTCTTGTCTCCGCAACGTTTGGGATCACCTTGCAGGCGAAATGGATGCGATATGTTGGTGATTTTACCGCACGATGAAGAACAAGCTGCGTCGATTTGGGGGAAGAACTCAATAAGAGTGATAATAACGATGATCGAAGCTAACACTTCGGTCCAGTTTCTTCGTCTCGAAACCCAACTTGATTCCATTTTGAAATCCACCTTTGGAGCACATACATCTGTCTTCGCTGTTCAGTTTCGGTTTTTGCTCTGTTTTGACTTTGCCCTCTGAAAGTGCTTTTGATGAATGGAGCATCACTTTCAGGCCAAAAAGTTTAAAAAAAAAAAAAATTACGTTGCACTTGGGTGAGTTGATGATTTAATGACTGGCATGATTACATATCAATGCGGGAGAATGTCAGACAAGGATAACAGGAGAGAATAAATTTCAACAGGATTTAAAAGAAATTTAAAATTTTAATTCAGTTTTTTGACCAACAAAATTTTATTCCAGTTTAAAAAAAGTTAAAAAAATTTTGATAATGGAAAGATTAAAATATCTTATTATACAGAATTATTAATTATTAATTTTTTTATTGTACTTGTTAATTTATAAATATAAATTATAAATTATATGAGTTAACATATCACTAATTATATAAGATTTAATATTAATTTTTCAATCATGTGCAATAACATCATTGTTAAATGGTTAAGTTTACTTTTTAATTTACTAACATTAGTTATGAATTATTGATAAATTTTATAATTTATTAACATTAATTATAAATTACTAACATGTTTTATAATTTATAATTGATGTTAATAAATTAACAAATAAAGTTAGTAAATTAATAATTAATATTATTGATTGTTTGACAAATGAATATAATTTATAATTTATAAGTAATATTAATAAATTAACAAGTGTATTAAAAAAATTAATAATTAATAATTTTATATAATAAGTTAAATATTTTTTTTTCACCAACTAAATTCTGTTAACTTTCTCCTCATAATTAAACTGAAATTTTAAATTGTTTTGCAGTCACCGAAAATTAATTCTCAACTCAACTGAAATTCTCCCCATCAATGCGCCGGAGTGTCATAACTTCGAATATAAGGGTCAAGTTGGACCGCAGTCGGTTTTCTTCCACTGAGGCAAAGGAAAACTATGGACCATCCAAATTAAATACTTTTATCTTTTATTTTAAATTTATATTTTTAAAATAAAATATATACAAATTGTAAAAAAAAATTTAATAATTACATTTATTGACAGTTTAAATTTAATATAAATAATTTAAATTTAATATTAAATTTTTTTAATAAGCTTACTACTTTATTCAAGGTGTATGTGCACTATCTAAAATACATCTAAAAAATTAATTTAAATTTTTTATATTTTATTTAAACCATTTATATTAAATATCAACTATTAATTAATAAATATATTTGTTAAAATTTTTTATATTTTTTATTTTAAAAATATTTAATCTAAATGGTCCAGAGTGAGAGGCTTGAGGAAAGCCGCCTCCAGCTGGACCTACGAGTTTCCGGGTCCAACTATATTTTGTATTTTTTAAATATAGCGAATCGTAAGCTGAGCTCTATTGGATTAGGGGCACTACCATATCTCTTGAAAAATGATCTGGGCGTTGATTCTAGTACAACAACATAGGGTTCTGTTTAAATTTTGAGTTGAATATAATAAATTATAAAAATAATTAATTAAATAATAAATTTTAATCATAATTGATTATGTTATGATACAATCTATTTAGATACTGTTTTTTTAAAATTAATTTTTAGCTATATAAATTACTATATAATTTAATTTTTAAATATCAAATATTAATTTTTAAATATACAAATTTTAAATTTTATTAAGAAAAAAAGAAAGAGAAGATAGTTTAATTTTATTTTATTAAATTATGTGCTTTCTTTGAAATTTTTTTGGACTTATTTTTGTAATTTTTTCCAATATTTTTGAAAAACTTTTATCAGAAAGCTAATCGAAGTAGCTTACAGGAAAACATGCATATGAGTTCAGAATTGATTTTCATCTTTTTCTAATCGTTTGGCTAATTTACTAAAAAAATTGATTTTGGGAGGGAATAATCAATTTTTTTCCCTATCCAAACGCACACATATACACGGAAGTTTTGAATTTGAGTTTGTATAAATATATAAAATATATTTGGAAGAATTATCTTTAATTAAAGTTAATGCTTGAATTTAATTTAATTAGAAAGCCATATAAAAAAGGGCAAGACTTCTCCAGACTATAATGTAGTTATTATTAATTGATTTACGTTTTTCAAAAAGAAGTTGCTTTATTTTAATTTTTTAAAATGTTTCATATTTTTTAATTATGTTTTTGAATGTAATAAATATAAAATTTAATTTATTCAAAACATCTCTATTAATTATTCAATAAATAAGCATATAATTAAAAAATATATAATACCTACCAAATGCTTTATATTTTAGACTAAACAAGTTTTTAAAAAATAATTTATATTGCTGTTTGGAGAGAATATATTCAATATATTTTTATCTAATTAAATCAAAATTAAAAAAGTAAATTTTAATGTGTTGATAATATTAATGACAAAATTTCATTATAGAACAAATTATTATAAATGATACTCATATCTTAATTTATTGGAAACAAACATTGTTAAGTATACAAATTTTTTAATATATATATATATATATATATATCTATTAAAAATAGGAGGTTAAGTTTTAGTTTTTTTTTTTTGGATGAAAAACTGAAGACCTATCATGAAAACATAAACAGAGAGAATGCAAGCCTACAAAACAAAGTAAAAGTCACTTTTTATCATCTTCCATCTCATGCAGTTAACAAAAGTCGGAGAATGATCAAAAATTTCACAAATAGAGCAAGATGTGCACTATTTATAGCTATGGATAGCAATTAACTGTGTGTTTGATTTTTAATTTACATTTAACAAAAATATATTTAAAAGAATTCAATTATTTATTAGATTTAAATGTGTTTTTGACAATTATATAAACGGGCTTTAAGTGTAGGTATATTGGTGGATGTTTGCTTTGGATTTGGGTGTCTGCTGCTCCTGACACCTAAAATTACAACTTTTATTTCAGTTAATGGTTAGAGAACTTTTATCTAATTTTCTTAGAAGAATGGATGAGATTTTAGACATTAAGGGCCTGTTTAGTTTTCTTTCATTTCACATTTAAAAAGTAAAATTTTATTTTAGAAAGTTAAAAATTATTTAGGTAAAATATTTTACAGGAAAATATATTTTAAAAGTACATTTAAACAGTAACTAAAAGTAAATTTTTAAAACGTAACTATTTGAAAATTTTAAAAAGTAAATTTAAAAAATAGGATATTATTTAATCATATTACCCCAAGTTTAATCTCTTTTTTTATTTAAAAAATAATTAATTCATTAAAAATATATTTATTATTTCAATAATTATAATTAGGTATCAATTTTAGCATTATAAATTAAATAATTAATCATGTTACTTTTTAGCATTAATGTATAATAAAATTAAAAATTTTTATCATATTTTCTAAAATTACAAATTAAAAAATACAAATAACTAGCGATCAAATTTTAGCATTATAGATCAAAATTTATATTATTTAAAATTTTTATCACATTTTATAAATATTTTAAATATATTACATTTGTATAATAAAAATTATAAATCATCATAAATCAATGTCTTTTTTAATAATTGTATATTCAAAAGCACATTTTACTATCACAAATCAAATAACTTTTAGTGTATTAAACTGACTTTTAAAAAATATATTCAAACATAAATTTTATTACAATAATTGACTTTTATTAAATTAACTTTTCTCAAATATCATCAAATGAACGTTTGGTAAATTAAAAATCAAATGCACACTAAGAGGGGCAAAAGAGACAATAGCAAACTCTCCAAATTAGTATGTTTCTGTTTCTTAGTTAAAAGGATTAGATTATGAGTAAAATTTAAAACATATTCCCCCTTGCAGGGACTCGGTTTCTCTCCTCCCACCCTAATTAAATTTGTTTCAAATTTAATATTTTTATTTTTTATTTTATAAATTCTAAAATAAAAAATATATCAATTTTAATAAATCTGTCTTTCAGTTGGATAATCTAAATTTAATATAAATAGTCCATATTTAATTCATAAAAATTATAAAAAATTTAATATTGAACCTATACTATTCAAATATATCTGAAAAGTCAATCTATAAAATATTTGATATTAAATATGGACCATTTATATTAAATTTGGATTGTACAAATAGGTAAACAAATTTACTAAAATTAATATATTTAAAAAATAAATTATGAAATATTGATGTTCTCTCCATTCAAAAATGTAAGGCATTTTTAATTAAATTTCACCCCTCAATAAAATATTACCTACTTTCTAACTAACTCTATTTTTTCATATTTACCCCATTAAACTTTTTACAATAAATATAAAATCATTATCAATAGAGCACTTTATAAAAAGGCAATGATTATACCTCGAAAGATTGAAAATATTTTATATTTTTTAACATTTAACTCCTCAAAAAATATCTTACATTTTTTAATGGAGGGAGTATTAAATATGAACTATTTATTTATATTAAATTTGAATTGTACAGATATGAACAAATTTATTATAATTTTTTAAAATTGACATAATCTTTTTATTTTAAAAAATAATAAATTTAAACTGTACAGTTCAATCCTCGACAGGAGGTGTGGAGGAGTGGGGTGGGGAGAAGCAACTCTCATGGGGCAGATTTGGGTTACACATTAGAAAAAGTAAAGAGCGCAGCAAAACGAAAGGATAAGAAAGTAATGATTGTACTTTTTTTAATATTTTAAAAACAACGAAATGCAGCCCACCAAGGTTGACCAACGATACCTTATTGCATAAAAAGCTTTGCACTTGATTATTTTTATTGAGTTCGTAGCTGTCACAAAGAATTCAAGCGATTCCACGTCTAATTTGTATTTCTTTTTTACCTCCATTTTAATTTATTCTTTTCCTTTCTTTACCCATTCTAATAATACTTGATCTGCATATTTATTCCCAAAAAAAAAAAGAAAATATTTTAGTCAAAACCAAAACACAAGCAGTTCAAATATTTCGGTTCACTGAAAAATATAGCTAAATGATCTCCAGTGTGAAGTTGAGGTGCTTGAAAGACACACACAGTTACAATGATAGGATTCTGCAGAAACTTGGAGATTGATGATCTTGGTATTCATTCTGCTTACCCAAAATGGATCGTGTCAGAACCAGTGTGAAGAATTAAAGTGTGGACGTCATGGTCCTGTGGTTCGATTTCCCTTCCGGATCAAAGATAGGCATCCGGTTGATTGTGGCTATCCTGGCTTTGATATCACTTGTTCAGATCACGACCAGCTCCTTCTTGACCTGCCTACACCTTCAGGTCCGGTAAGCCTCTCCGTCAGAAATATCTATTACCGATCTCGGAAAATTGAACTGTATGATCCTCAAAGTTGCCTTCAGAACTTGTTTTATAGACTCCACAACTACTCCAAACCATCAACTTTCAAATTTGAGTCATCAGATTCATTTCTAAACATTGCTTTCCTCTCAATTGTTCTGACAATCAAGACATGTTCTCTTGCCCAATCCATGTTGCTGCATCCACTGACCAATTCCTTGGCTCGAATATACTGTTCTGTACCAAAATGATTGAGATTTCGTCAAATCAACTGTATAACATACAGAAAAATGCTTTGAATCTCAGTTGGTCGAAACCCAATTGTACTAGATGTGAAATTAAGGGACAGATGTGTAAACTGAAGAACAATGGAACCAAAGACGATATTGAATGTCTCGACTATGATCACAAGAAACAAATATCAACTCGTATAGCTGTTGCAGGTGAAGCTCAATCGTTCAGATCTATCTTCTCCTTTTTTTACACATTGAACTACTTTTTTTTTTTAATTATGGAATTTTCAATTTTGTGCAGTAACAACATCAGGTTCTGTCATGATCCTCCTGGTGCTCGTTGGACTCTTTCTATTACATAGACATTTCAAATTGAAAGGAGAGGATAGAGTGAGACTTGAAAAGTTTCTAGAAGATTATCGATCACTTAAACCTACTAGGTTCTCTTATGCTGATCTTCATCGAATGACGAGTGGTTTTAAGGATACGTTAGGTGAAGGTGCTCATGGATCAGTGTTTAAAGGGAAGCTTTCAGAAGAAATTTTGGTTGCTGTGAAGATGCTCAATAACTCAGAGGTGGATCATGGGAAAGAGTTCATAAATGAAGTTGGAGCTATAGGTAAAATCCACCATGTCAACGGTTGTTCGTTTACTTGGCTTTTGTGCTGATGGATTTCATCAAGCTCTTGTTTATGATTTCTTTCCAAATGGTTCCTTACAAAGATATGTTTCTGCTCCAAATGATGAAGACAATACTGTCTTCCTTGGATGGGAAAACTTGCAGCAAATCGCTATTGGTATAGCTAAAGGGATTGAGTATCTTCACGAGGGTTGTGATCCTAGGATTATTCACTTTGATATCAATCCTCATAATGTTCTTTTGAAGAAAACTTCCTTCCGAAAATATCTGATTTTTGTTTGGCTAAACTATACTCTAAAGATATCAATCCTCATAATGTTCTTTTGGAAGAAAACTTCCTTCCGAAAATATCTGATTTTGGTTTGGCTAAACTATACTCTAAAGATAGAAGTGCAGTGTCGATGACCACAGCAAGAGGAACTTTAGGTTACATCGCGCCTGAAGTTTTCTCTAGAAATTTTGGAAATGTAACACATAAAGCTGATATATATAGTTACGGAATGTTGCTGATAGAGATGGTTAGTGGAAGGAAGAATACAAACACTGAAAAAGAAGGTCCTCAAGTTCTATACCCAGAATGGATTCATAATTTAGTGAAAGGAGGAGATGTTCACATTCAAATAGGAAGCAAAGAAGATATTAGAATTGCGAAAAAATTAGCAATTGTGGGACTTTGGTGCATTCAGTGGAACCCAGCAGATCGTCCATCCATCAAAACAGTGTTACAAATGTTGGAAGGAGGAGATGACAACTTAACAGCACCTCAAAATCCTTTGAATTCCCCTTTTATTAATACTAGTGTTGTTATTCCTAGCAGACATATAAATTCAGAGCTAGAAGTAATTCATGAATCGGATTGATTATATGTTTGTTCAACAATTAGGGTGACCAAATACTAACTTCACTTGTATTAAGTAGCATTCTCTAAGAGTTGTTGTACAATTCTATCCTTTTTGAGTGAAATGGGAATTATCATTAACTTAACTGGAAACTGTACAGGCTATGCATCAAAACCAAAGAGAAGAAAACAAACAGACTTTACATCAAAATTCTAAGAGTAGAAAATGATTTTGAAGTATGGTTAACCATGGCTCGAATTTCTGAAAGAACGGCATCAACAGTGAAAATTTCATCAGCAAAGAGACATTGTTTTCTGACATCCCATAACTTCCAAGTGATGCTTACCCCAATCTTCCAAGAGATGTCCAGGCGAGGATTGTGCAGACAAGCATCAGCTGCATAATCATTGTTTCAAAAGTGTTTGTGAAGGAAATAATAACAGCAGAATCAAAAGTCTCACGAAATCAAACCAAAAAGATAGGGGAAAAAAAAAGGAAGAAACGAAGAGGAATTATGCAAGCACAAGCACTTTGTAAGGGGAAAAAATCAGAAGTACTCCATGCTGTTATAGTAAAACATTCAAAGCCATGGAATTTCTAATCTCATATTCAGGCCAAAGTGCTTTTAAAGCCGGACAAGAAATTTCCATTGGTTAACATATTATGTCTTCTTTGGTATATTGACATGTACAGATTAACATTACTTTTCCCATTCATCTGAAATTCAAATTAATGGAGATATGTCTTCCACTTTATATATTAATCGGAGGTTGCATAAAATTAAAAACTATCAAAGCTGCTTCCAGCAATTTCGTAAAACAGGACAATCAGACATTGCTTAACATATTGGTCTGCATAAACCCCATCCTTCCACTTGGGCATGTAATTGAATAAAGATGGTTAACTCAAAGGAGCAATAATCATAAATCTCTGGAACTTTAAACAAACCTATAAATCTCTGGAACTTTAAACAAACCTTGAGATCTTTTCAAGATGACTGCATTTGGGATTTGAATGACTTTATCTTCTTCTCCAAGTCTTTTTAGCCTACCTTCACTATTATTGTCATGTTCCTTAATTGATTCCTCAAGCGTTGAGGCTGTCTCGACTCAGGTTTCATAAATAATTTGCTTTTCCTTGACTGCAGATTTTGCTTCTGCAAGCTCTTGCTCAAATTTCTTCTCTAGTTCCCCCAAGCTACAAAGACAAGAGAAGTACAGAGGAAGCAAAGTGAGAATGATGAATAACATTAACGAGGAAAATTAAAATTTTTATGATGGAGTGAAATTAAGGTAAAATCACAGCCTTTTTATGAATCAATTTTTTGTAAAGAAAATTTTTATAATAAAAAATATATCTATTACAAGTTATTCTTTAAAAGAAAAATTCTTGTAAAAATTCGTTATGAATGATAGATCCACCTATTCAGAAAAAAAAATTGTTGTATATAATTTGTGCATCACACGAGAAATTAATTAGTTGAAAAGAAAGTGATGTATGATAACTAAAAGCTAGCTACTTTTTCCTTAGTATTTTGAAGTTTATCAGTGATATATCTTCACAATGATAGGCATTATGTTCTGTCATTGATAGTTGAAGATCTTTTCCCTTCTATTTAGCCCCCATTCCGCCCCCCTTTTCAGATTTGGATCAAGGACTGAATTTTTATACGGACAAGACCTCAAGGACTTAGCCTAAATGAGTCAAATATGAAAAAATTACTGGCAAAAAAAGAAGACAAAAAAATGACTTTTTTTTTAAAAAATTTTTGATTTAAAAAGGAAATCAAATAGCTCTAAATATATAAATATAAATATTGTGTTCCCAAGGGATTCTCACAACCAACATCCATGAGATTGATTTCTTGAAGAATTTGAGCAAATTAAGGTTTATCCTCTCTTAAGTGATGCTCTCCATACATTCCTTAAGAATCAAACTTTTGAATAATGTTTAAGAGGTCTAAATTTATCATCTGTACCACCTCCACTTGATAGCCCCAAAAATAATTTGATTCCAATGTCGCTTTATCCATAACACTAACAGCACATTGTGTTTTGGGTCACTAGCTCTAAAGTATTTCTAAAGCCTTAAACTACCATATCTCACAACTCGGCCCAAAGCACTATTTTTTTTTCCCTCTCATGCTTTGACGTGGGCCAGAATGAGACCCACAATGCAATTCACAGTTATTGGCCCATTTTTAATATACATCACAAATTTCGGATTTTTTTTTTTAAAAGCACACTTGCATGATTTGAAACCTTCTCCTGGTAAAATAAAATAAAATAAAATAAAATAAAATAAAATTGATTAAAAAAATTAAGATAAAAATAAACTAAATCATTCTTCCCTCCATGTTAAGCATAATAACCAAAAATCTCATGAACTATGATTTCCAACTTATAAACTAAATAACCTCTCTTCTTACGAATGTGCTCACATATCATCTTTGATTATTTATTTTATTTTTTTTTTTAATACATTCATTTCATCTATTCTAATAAGCAAACTGACTTTAATGATTTATTTCCCCAAGTGTTCTTTCCTAGATGCCAAGCAAGGTGGGAGAGTTTCATGGTATTGGTCTTGGATCAATAATGGGAGGGATTTCCCTCTCGGCTCCACACTCAAAATCCTCATTTTGTTTCACCCGAGATGCAGAAGCCAGATTTAAATTTTCTAAGCATCAATAGCAGAGACTTTCACTCAAGTCTATTAATTTTGGCCTAAAGTGGCCTAGGAGCATTCCAAGGCCACTTTTAAATTTCATATAAAGTTCAATAGATCCAAATGACTATTCAAACGTCTCAATTAACTCAACGTCAATCAACCAATTAAATACTAAATTAATTAATTTAACTTTTTGATTAAATTTTCGGACGTTGCACTTCCTCATCAACCTAACAACCTCTGCATAAGAGTATTGATGGGCATTTATTTCCTGAAGTGTTCCTTCTTAGATGCCAAAAGATGGGAAAGCTTCAGGGATTTATTGTCGGGTAGACTTTTTTTTTTTTTTTTTTTGAGAAAATCTAAGCATTTCACCATTTCCTGAACTTTAAAAGGATATAAGATGGGAAAATCTAAGTGTGTCGGTAGAGGTATTTCACCATTTCCTGTAGTTTCACCAAAAAAGTTTCTCAAAAAAGTATCTCTGCGACAGATTGGAAATGGTGAAACTGCAAGAAAAGGAAAGATGATTGGATTCCAACACTCCCTAGTCACTTGTGTCCCTACCACTCATGATCAAAGAGATATTAACTTTAATATCTCAATTTATATAAAATTTAATAATAATAAAATGATATATATAGATGAAAAATTCATAACTAAATAAGACTTCGATTATCTCAAGTATAAGCCGATATACAACCCATTGAACCACCATAATTTGCATAGAGTTTAGAGATAATGAAAAAAGTGAAACTATCATATCTTTGTGGTTATCGATTAATGCTTATATGAAGCAAATCAGTAGCCATTTTAATAAATTAATTAATTAATTATATTCCATAGAGAGGGAATAACTGACAGTCACAAGGTTGTAGGTTGGGCCTCGCCTATTAGATTTACTTGTGTGGCTCACCTATCACGATTCATATAAGATCATAAAGACTAATTTATTTAAGCTCATTAATTAATACAAATTTATAAAAATATTCCAACAAGAGAGTCAATACAATGGTTGTGAGAATAGACAAAGGAGAATGATATATAGGTCCTAAAAAAACTAATTAATTTAAATTAAATTTTAAATGTTAATTTTAAGATTTACAAGTTTGACTTTTAATTTTATAATTTTATTGTAATGAATTTATAATTTATTTTTTTTAATTTAATATAATTAAAAAATAATTTTATTTTTTTATTAAAATTTTAAAATATAAATTATAAATTTATTACAATAAATTATAAATTTAAAAAAAAATTACATATCTTTAAAATTTATTATTTAAAAATTAATTTGAATTAATAGGTGCTTAGATGCTTGTCAGTCATTCCCCCAATAGATAATGGCATCTTGCTGAATTGGAGAGAGAAATTGATTTGACAACACTACAAGCCATGAGGGTGTGCTTATGTGGTGTCCATCTAGAAATAAGAAATGGAATGTATTTTGTCAAAGAGGGAAAATATATACTCCCTTTATTTAAAAATAAAAATATTTTTAATTAAATTTTTTTTTTAATAAATTTATTTATTTTTAAATAATTCTATCTTTTTATATTTATCTTATAAAATATCTTATAATAAATATAAAGTCATTGCACTTTTAGAAAAAGAATAATGATTGCACCTTAAAAAATTAAAAATACCTTACATTTTTTAACATTTAATTTATCATAAAATACTTTACATTTTTAAATATAAGGAGTATTATGAAGCACAATTTTGTAAAAATAAATATTTCTATCTGATCAGTGACGGATCCGAAAATTTTAGTAATGGGGGCAACATTTATGCCAAATATAAATATTAACATTTTTTAAAAAATATAATTCTAAATATTAATTAAAATAATTTAAATAAATTATTAAGAAGTTTAAAATATATCTTAATTTCATTTATATCATAAAATTATTTTTATAATAAATACAAGATAAATAATATTTTTAAATATGTGTGTTTGATAATTTTTAAAATTGTGGGACAATTAATTTTTCAAAGGGGTCAACAATTAATTTTTCAAAGGGGTCAACTGCAATTTTTAAGTCGGGCAAGTGTAATTTTTACAAAAAAATAAAAATAAAAAGTTTTATCTTTTACAAATTTCCTGGGGACAACTGCCCCCACTTTCCATAGCGTGGATACGTCCCTGTATCTGATGGATCATGTCTCTTGCATGTGAAGTATTTTTTTCCCCAAAAATAATATAAAATCAGATTTAGACCTAGAATCTACAATTTTTCTTCCACAATTCGAATTTTAACTTCCATATTATTTGTACTTTTTTAGGAAAAATAAAAATACAGTTAAAAAATTAGTGACATTCAAATATTTAAAATTTATTTTTAAAAAATAAGTTACAATTATTTATTCAGACAATTACAAATTAAAATTTTATTTATAAACAAAAATTTATATTTAGAATTTATTTTTTATATTAAAATACTTAAATTTATAATTATTTAAATCAGTATTTATAATTTATTTTTTTAAAAAAACTATCTAAGATCTACTTGCAATTAATTTTGTTAGACTTAACTGTTACTCTCCTCTTCTTTTCTTCTCTAGTTCTTCTATCAAATCAATTGTTGAATTTTACTTTTTCATGTTTTTTACAAATATTTGCTTCACACACTCAAAATATTGTTTCTATTCAATAAAATATTTATAATATTCATATATAGTCTACGGTACAATAAATTTTTTCCCACCAACGATTTGCGCATAAATAGCCTTTTTTTGAATAACTCGGGAGAATTGCACTGCAGAACCCAAAACCAATATATTTATTTTAAAGACCCATAAAATCTGAAATAATTTTGCATGCCCAAATACCTCTCTTGTAATTAAGTTTCCAGTGAAAAGATATAATTTCCCTTTTGTGAAATAAATGAACCTTTTATTAAAAATAAATAAATTTTGATTGTTATTTATGAACTTTTTGTAGAAAGTTTATTTGGATAACTTGTAAATTTCCTTCTCTCCAACAAATGCAAACCACATGAGCTATATAAAAATAAATAGATATTTTATTTAAATAAATGGACTTTAAATATTATTCACAAAGCTTCTGTTGTAAATTTTATTTAGATAATTTGTAAATATCTTCTTCTTTACTAAATATAAACTATATAGACTATGTAAAATGAATAGACATTTTATCATTGGTAAAGAGACTTTAAATATTAGTTACCGAGTTTTTATTGTAAATATTATTTTGATACCTTGTAAATTTTATTCTTTAAAGTGTAATTCATGTAAACTATGTGAAATAAATTAATGTTTTTGTTGCTAATAAATAAACTTTAAATATTATTTTTGAATATTTTGTCTTGCATTTCACAAAAGGACAATTCCATTTTTAACAAAAAATTAATTGGAAGATAAGCCTTTGGACATGAAGAATTGCTTCAAAGTCTACAGGATTTTTAATACAAATATGTTAATTATGGGAGCATACAGTTCAATTCTCCCAACTATTATTTTAGCATCAAGTATGCGGGTCCATATTTTTAATTATATCAATCAAAATCAAATGTAGAAAACATGTTCTTTGCGTGCTTTATTGGGAACTTACATGTCACCACACGCGTGCATAA